CAACTTTGGGCCATAAAGTCCATCTCACAGCCCGCCAATGTCTCCAAAAATGAACCTCTCAGACCCTATGATCATTTGTGATGTTACCCTCACATGGTTCTCATTTGTTTTCAAGATAAGATGAAGTATATAAATATACTATATATATAAACAAATTAGTAGGAGTATGAGGAATTCTCCAAACTCTAATACTAAATTCTTATGGATTCTCTCTCCTACGGTTACTTCTCAAAGTCTCTCCTTCAACTTTTTCTAATTTTAATCATTTTCAATTATCTAAATCTCAAAAGCAAAGGATTAATATAATATTTAAATAAATGAAAATATTTAAATAATGGAACAACAAAAAAGGTAGAGATAAAAATATAAATAATAAAATAAAAAAGAATAACTTTTCACATTCAACTACAAAGTAATATAAAGAGTCAATAAAAGATAAAAAAAATAACTGTTATAAAAAAATATTACGAGTCAATAATTATAAATATAAATACTATATGTACATATCGAACAATTAAAAAAAATCTTCAAACTCTAAACTAAATTGCTTAGGATTCTCTTCTACTGTTACTTCTCAAGTCTCCCCTCTTCACTTTCCTAATTTAGTCATTTGGTCAATTATCTAAATCTCAAAAACCAAACGGATATATATATTTAAATAAAATGATAAATATTAAATGAACAACAAGAGGTAGAGATAAAAATATAAAATAAATAAATAAAATTGTAAACTATTCAAATTTCAACTACAAAAACTATAAAAGAGTCAATAAAAAGATAAAAAATAACTAAATAAAAATATTGAGAAGTCAATTAATTTTAAAAATAAAAATAACTATTTATATATGAACAATTATAAAAACATATATTACGAGTTCAAATGATTTTAAAAAAAAGAGGTAATTATGTTATGTGAATAACAATAAATAACAGAAAAATATACAAAAATAAAAATATAAGCTATAATGAAAATTCAAATAAAAGATAACAAAAATATTTAAATAAAAAAAAGAATAAGATTGGATATAAATATCCCAAAAGAGATAATTTTTTAACAATCATATTTATCTTTTGTTAGTTTGTTTAGAATTTCTATTTTTAAAGTTTATCTTTAAGTGAAACTTAATATTTATCTTTTTAAAATCATCAATTACTTTCCATACAAATTTAAACATGAAGAATTCCATATATATCTTTTTGTTAAGCATAATCTTTTCAATATAAAAAAAAGTTCCTGCAAATAAACCATGAACAGAAAAATGAGGTGAAACAATCAACATTGAGCATTTTTTGATCCCTTTAAGATGCCTAAAAATTTTAAATATTTGGCTTTAATTTGAAATGTGTACTTGCATGAGTTTTTGCATTTGTAAGAAAGTGAGTTCATATAAATGGATTTTTTTTTTAAAAAATTTTGTTGTTACAATCTGTATTTTTCCTATTTCTTTCTTTATGTTAATAATGTGTCATTTTAATTGAGATTTTATCTTTTTATATTTATAAAAACACTACTATTATCAATTTGTAACTCTCTCTCTTATTGATTATTTGTGTTTTATTTTTATTTTTTTTGGTGTAGATGTTAGATTGAAATGAAGAACACATCAAAATTTATGGATATGAGTTATACTTTAAATGTATTCATCAGTTGATTTTTTTTGTTGATATCCTGTGAAGTATTCATGATTAAATTATTTTTAGTAACTTATTTCCTTTGAGAACTAAACCACAATTTCTTCTTTTTAAAATTTATTTATTTATTTATTTGGATTCAGAGTTGAGCAAATGGACGATATCTCATATTTAAAATGTTAATTTTTTTTTGAATAATTTAAATATTTATATTCTTTAAGTTTGTCAATTCAAGTTTAACGCATTTTCAAACTTTTTTTATTTTTTATTTTTTTATAATCATTCCAAACCTATTTGTGTTTAACGAATCAAATAACGAAAAAACAAATAGCATGAAACAATTTAACCACTAACTGAAATAATGGAATTAAATTAATTTTATTTTAATTATTATATTATATGATGATTAATGTAATATCTACTATTGATTTAAGTAAAATTAGTGTTACTTTATTTAATATATTAGTCATTTTGATTAATTATAATATTGCCTTTGTTAATCTACTTTTGGTTGTCTGAGTAATTCTTAGATAAAATTAGCTTTATTATATGTGATGATTTACTATGATTTGATAGTTTTTTAAATTTTCAATTATGTGAAATATTAATATTCTTAATGATGTGAAGTAAGATTTATATACACAAACCAAATAAAAATATTAAGAAATATAAAACAAATAGCCAAATTTTTTTTTAAGTAATTATTTGACTTTCTAAAATCCTGTGCATCGCACGGGTAACCACTAGTTCATATGAAGAACTGTTAGTGAGGTGATTGCTAATGAGGTTGAAAACAATGTATGTGTTGATAACCGGTGGACTAGTAATAGTTCATGTTTGTTTTGAGAGATAGAAATGAGATTAATCATGTAAAATTACAAAAAATGCCCTTGTTGTATTAACATTAATTTAAGCTTTACAACTAATAATGCATTACCTAATTAAACTTATTCAAAAATTATAAATTAAAATCATATAATTAAAAATAATAAAAAAATTCAACTATTAATCTATTATTATTATTAAAGAAATCATTTTTTATTATTATAATTAAATCATATAAATTATCTATTTCTATTTTTTTAATATTATTATTATTAAAGAAACCAACCAATGTTTCTTAAAAACCAGCCCATGTTTTGACCGTTCAAAGCATTCAAAATATGTTGCCTCTCAGAATATGTTGACCAATAAATTATTCAAAGTTAAAACTAAAATTACATAATTGAAAATTAAAAAAAAAATTCAGCTATTAATTTATTATTATTTTATCATTATTATTATTACAATAATGGTTTGAGATCCCTTAGGTTACCTCTTCACCTCTTTACATTTGATTGGTTAACTTCTTTTCTTTTTTTTTTCTTTTTTTTTTTTTTTTTTTTTTGACGATGATTCTCCAATCCAACCCGCAGATGTGTGTGTTGGTGGGGGGTGGAACTTTTATGTTGTGTTTGGTTGAGAGATTTTAGGAGAGATTTGGAAAGGGAAAGAGAAAAGGTGTGTGAAATTAAGTGAAATGTAGGCATATTTTATTCACATTTTATCAAACTTTTCTCTTTTTCTTTTCAAATCTCTCTTCAAATTCTCCAATCAAACACAGCGTTAAGGGGATACAAATCATTGCTCTTATTATTATTATTATTATCATTATTATAATAAAGAAACCAACCAATGGTTTCTGAAAAGCAGCCCATGGTTTTGAAAGAAGTTTATCCTCACATGTCTCTCTCATGTCTCTCTCTTTCTCACATGTCTCTCTCGTCTCTCAGTTTTTCTACCTCACATGTGTCTCTCTTGCTCAAGCTTTGCCATTGATGACCACAAATTGAAGTTAATTGGAGCTCTATCAACGACGATCTCAACCTTTATATTCGTTAACAACGACGTTGACCTTCAAATTCAAGGTGAGGCAAACTCGATGAATACCAGAGTGCTGAATCAGTCTTTTCTCTTGGTGATCTTATTGTGATTTTGTTGATTTTTTTATTATTATTTTGTTGATTTTGAGAACTTGTTAGATGATATTTGTAATCTATTTGTGAATATGTTGATGTTTTTTGTTATTATTTTTTGATATTTGTGAATGTGGAAATTTGTTAAAAAATTTAAAAGCTGTTAAATTTTTTTTTTTTTTTAGAAATTATTGATTGTTTCTGAGTGTGGTTAAAAATTTGGAGGAGGGATCTGTTTTTCTATTTGATGATGTGGTGGATAGTATGGTCATTTGATGATCTGTTTTTCATAATCTCAACGGCTTCTTTTTTCAATACCAAGTCCACGAGGGATTGTTAATCCGTTCGTCTGAGGGGATTTATAGTCCATTCGAACTATGAATCCGATGTAACATTGTCAAAACAAACGGGAGGTATGTTTACTGTTTATCATTCACAGTCCATTCCGGACTGTGAAAGAGGAAAACAAACGAGGCCATGAGGTATTAAAAAAAAAAAAAATTTAAAAGTAATCTTTCCTATATTTTTACCGAGGGAAAAAAAGAATCCTGCTAGGGATCCTCAGCAGGGGAGGACCCCAGCACCCCACCTCCATGTGGGGGCTGCCAATGAATGAAAAATAAATAAATAAATAAATTTGAACCAATCAAAAGAGACCCAGCACGGGGGGTCACTGGGGTCTGTAGCATTACTGGGTCTCATGTATTTTCCGGAAAAAAAAAATTCCTAAGGACATATTATAATGATATATTAAAGTGAAGCTTGACGTGAAAAGTTGTAAAGTGGGATCCTTTTTTCAAAAAAAGCGAAAGCAATGTGAACAGAGAGAGAGAGAGAGAGAGAGAGAGAAGATCTCACCTGCTATAGACAGCCTGTGCATTACGTGTCGCCAGGTATAACGTCGTTTGATGTCGGGATATGAAGACATGAGGACGGAGGTAGTTGGTGGTGGTGAGAAGTGGTGTTGTGGGGTGAGCGGCGGTCGTTGTGAGAAGAGTTGTGGAGAGGTGAGGAAGACGGAGGAGGGAGACGGTGATCGTGAGTAGATGGGTTGGTTCCTCACTCTCTCCAAGATTTGTTCGTCTTCTTCCTCTTCTCCCTCCCACGACGACATATTATCGATGCAATACTAACCTAACCCCCAATAGTAACCCCCCAAACCCCTCACTTTCTTTTCTTTTTTTATCCCCAACCTGCACCTTTCACTTTGCATATATATATACACACACATATATCTATATATATATATATATATAATGACTAATAAAAATCAGGTCAATGTTGGTGTTCAATGACCCCTTTCACTTTATTTTCGCTGTACCCAAAAAAAAAATATAAAAAAATGACCCCTTTCACTTTATTTATACAGTGAAAACAAATGCATAAAAAAAAATAAGGGGTTGGGATTCAATGATCCTTTTTCTTCACTCGTTAATACTCAAGTCCTCGTTTGGATTGCCTAATTTAGAGTTTAAAAGTAAATAATACCAGGTATTCTAAATATTTTATCAAATATTCTATTAAATGTTATACATAAGAATGAGATTTACATAGGATTCACATAATGTAGGTCGCACTTGTGTGACACATTTAATAGAAGATAAAACGTTTAGGATCCTTAATATTTTTCTTTAAAAATAAAAATACATTTTTTTTCATCCATGTCATTTATTTGGATAAATAAAGATAAGAGAAATATGATAAAGTAGAAACAAAAATTGATATATATTTATTTTATCTTATAGCTTTTAATTTAAATATCTCTAAAAGTAGAGAGATTGATACTCTATTTATTTGCGAGAAAAATAAAATATCTTTTTGCATTTTTTAGCGTTTGATACAATAAAAAAATTAAAAGTAACAGAAAATATTTTTCATAATCAATAGAAAACAAATCTACTTAGGCAAAAAAATACTTTTCACTTTTAAAAAGAAAAAAATATTTTTCAAATTAGAATCATATTAATTTCACCACATTATCATAATCGCTCTCATCTTCACCACCATCACTACTGCCACTGTCATCATCACCATCGCTATCATCATTGCCATGTCTCACCACCTCCACCTTTGTGCCACCACCACCAAATATAGATAAATATTTTCTCCAAAAAAAAAAAAATTCAAAAAAAAGGTTTTCTATCACCCAAACAAATGAGGCATGAAAGAAAAAATAAGCTAACTAATTACTATTTGCCTATAATTCCTATTCAAATTGCCCTATTGGATATATAATTAAAAAAAAATCAAAAATAGTGACACTTATCAAAATGAAAAATGTTTTGGAGCTCTAATACTTTTGTTGCGTTTTCGTGTATTTATTGATGTGTTGCATTTATGCTAATGTGTTTGTTCTGAAATTGAATTTGTGAACTTTCTTCTCCCTCTGCATTGTAAATGTATAATGAAATGCTTGAATGAAATTTTTATTTTAACAGCAAGTTACATCAACACCTCCCATTCGCATCATGTCTTCATTTGATGGATTTATGGAAAGCCCACCTCTTTTCAAAGTGTTAGTAAATATATCAACCAAACAACAGAAAATAAAAAATAAAAAAATTAAATGTCACTTTTCTCAAACTAAAGGTAAACATTTAATTTTATTATGTTTAATTGCTATCTTTTCTGTATACATACATATATACATGTCTTCAATTTTTGTTGATTTGATTGCATGAAACTTCTCTCGAATCGATAGCCTCACTTTACCTTTTAATTTCTCTCTCTCTCTCTCTCTCTCACTGTTGGTTGATTTTAGGTTTTTATATCTGGATTGATGGATCATACTATTTTATTTTTGTTTGTGTTTAAGGCTTCAAGGTCGTTTCTTTGTTTCCGGAGTGGTCGTTTCTTTGATTTTAGGTTTTTATATCTAGATTGATGGATCATACTATTTTCTTTTATTTTTGTTTGTGTTTAATTTCCTTATATTGGGATTGAAGAGTTTCTTTGTACATTAATGTTCTGAATATTGGAATTGTTGGGCTTCAAGGTCATTTCTTTGTTTCCGAAGTGGTATACTTCAACTACAAAATTGAGAAAGGACAATCACTAATTGTTATTTGTTATTTGTGTTCAAATGTGGTGAGGTAGAAATTAACTTATATTCTCATAAAAAACTGCAAAGAAAACTCTTCAACTTATATTCTCATAGGCATTTTCATTTCAGTAGAAATTAACTTGAAATTCTTGATGCTTGCACTTCCAATAGTCTACATGGAAATTCAGTATTATTCGTGTATCAAGCATGAGCATCTTGGCAGGTAGTTTCTTTCTTACCAAGGACTGCATCATTCTGCCATAGCATTCTTTTAATTATTTTTGTTGCATAATTTACTACAATATCACATTAAATAGTTGCCACAGCAAATGAAGGAAAGTTGTGGGTGCATAATATGATGAAAGAATCTAATACTGAAGCCCCTGAAAATTCTAGTGTCAAGTTCCAGCTTTCTCACTAAATTTTGATTTTATTAATTTTTTTCCCACTTCAAGTTCTTTTTCTTTTTTGAATTTTGATATGATTGTTTTGAATTTTTTTTGATATTTTGGTTCTTCTCTATGTGCAAAAAAGCATTAGCTAATGCATTAGCAGCAGCGCAATAAATGTGGACTCTTGGAAATGCAGGCATGGGAGCATTGCAGGTTTTTAATTTCTTGAAACAAATGATCTTTTGGAGCCTTCATATCTGTCTTCTCTTCTTCTTAACGTCATATTGTTAAGTTAATTTATTTATATAAATAATAATAATAATTTATTGGGAGCACTAACCGGTGTGCATTTTAATTTTAATTTCTTTTAAATTGTAGAGCACTGGCTAATGTGCATTGTTTGATATTTAATTTTTTTTTTATATTTGATTTGTTTGGAATTGTAGAGTACAGTCTGTTAAATATATTTTTATAACTGTATTTTAATTTTAATATTACTTACACCGTACCTTTAGGTACGAACATACGCTAATATATATATATATATAATGACTAATAAAAATAAGGTCAACGTTGGTGTTCAGTGACCCCTTTCACTTTATTTCCGCTGTACCCAAAAAAAAATATATATAAAAAAATGGGCCCTTTCACTTTATTTAGACAGTGAAAACAAATGCATAAAAACAAGGGGTTGGGTTTCAATGGTCCTTTTTCTTCACTTGTCAAAAGTCAAGTTCTGGTTTGGATTGCCTGATTTAGAGTTTAAAAATAAATAAAACTAGGTATTTTAAATATTTTATTAAATATTTTACATAAGTATGAGATTTACATAGGATTCACATAATGTAGGTCACACTTGTGTGACACATTTAATAGAAGATAAAACGTTTAGGATCCTTAATATTTTTCTTTAAAAATAAAAATACATTTTTTTTTTCATTCATGTCATTTATTTGGATAAATAAAAACAAGAGAAATATGGTAAAGTAGAAACAAAAATTGATATATATTTATTTTATCTTATAGTTTTTAATTTAAATATCTCTAAAAGTGGAGAGATTGATACTCTATTTATTTGCGAGAAAAATAAAATATCTTTTTTGCAGTTTTTAGTGTTTGATACAATAAAAAAATTAAAAGTAATAGAAAATATTTTTCATAATCAATAGAAAACAAATCTACTAAGGCAAAAAAATACTTTTCACTTTTAAAAAGAAAAAAACATTTTTCATATTAAAGTCATATTAATTTCACCATACTATCATAATCGCTCTCATCTTCACCACCATCACTACTGTCACTGTGACTATCACCATCGCTATCATCATTGCCATGTCCCACCACCTCCACCTTTGTGCCACCACCACCAAATATAGAAAAATATTTTCTCCAAAAAAAAAAAAAAAAATCAGAAAAAAGGTTTTCTATCACCCAAACAAATGAGGCATGAAAGAAAAAATAAGCTAACTAATTACTATTTGCCTATAATTCCTATGCAAATTGCCCTATTGGATATATAATTAAAAAAAAAATCAAAAATAGCGACACTTATCAAAATGAAAAATGTTTTGGAGCTCTAATTCTTGAGCTCTAAAGCCAGTTCTAATGAGTTGGCAATGGGTCTCACCTACTATGATGTGATGTTTTGGTCTTGATTTTTTTTTTTTTTTGGTCTCCTTACCATATTACCAAAATTAGTATTTTGAATCATTACTGTTTGAAAATTTGTTTGGCATTTATTTATCCCATTGTATATTTTATCGCCTATAATATTAGTTTGCAAATTTGAGGAAAAGCGTAAATTCAAAAAATGAGTTTACGTTAGTTTTTAAACAGAAATTTAAAAATTTGACTAACAAAATTTTTTTTTCAATTATTTTTTTTTCAAATAATATTTTTTTCAATAAATTTTTTTTCAACTAATACTAACCGAGGAGGTAATTGATAATGTTATTTTAAACCTTGGGGAGGAGATTATAATTTGTAAAATGTGAGGAGTATCAATGTAATTTACCTAATGAGGGCAAAATAGGTATTTAAAAAAATTAAATTACTGGAGAGAGTAATCTGTAATGAAACTTTAAATCTCAAAAAAATAAACATAATTTTCAAAAGATGAAAAAAAAATTATAATAAATATAAACCTTAGAGATGTCAACGTAATTTACCTTTCTTTTTTATCCCCTACCTACACCTTTCACTTTGCATATATATACACGCATAGTCAAGGTTGGTTGGGGTTCAATGACCCTTTCACTTTATTTATATAATATAGTATATGGGCATTATACAGCGAAAACAAATACATAAAGACAACGGGGCTGGAGTTCAATTTCTTCACTCGTTAAAAGTCAAGTCCTCGTTTGGATTGCGTGATTTAGAGTTTAAAAATAAAAATACATTTCTTTTCATTCATCTCATTTCTTTGGGTAAATGAAGACGATAGAAATATGATAAAGTAAAAAGAAATAGATAGAAATTTATTTTATTTTTATAATTTTTAATTTAAATATCTCTAAAAGTGAAGAGATTGTTACTCTATTTATTTGGATGAAAAATAAAATATTTTTTGATGTTGATATAAAAATTAAAATTAATGAAAAATATTTTTCATAATTAATAAAAAATAAACCTTCATAGGCAAAAAATATTCTTCATTTTTAAAAGAAAACCTTTTTCAGACTAAAATCATATTAATCTCACCACATTATCATTGTCACTCTCATTTTCACTACCATAACCACGGCCACTGTCACCATCACCATCGTTATCATCATTGCTATATCCCACCACCTCCATCTCCACCTTTGTTTCACCCACCAATGTTTTCTCCAAAAAAATTTCTGAAAAAATGTTTTCTATAAAAAAATTTCACCCAAACAACGAAGCATGAAAGAAAAAATAAGCTAACTAATTACTATTTGCCTATAATTCCTATGCAAATTGCCCTATTGGATATATAATTAAAAAAAAAATCAAAAATAGCGACACTTATCAAAATGAAAAATGTTTTGGAGCTCTAATTCTTGAGCTCTAAAGCCAGTTCTAATGAGTTGGCAATGGGTCTCACCTACTATGATGTGATGTTTTGGTCTTGATTTTTTTTTTTTTTTGGTCTCCTTACCATATTACCAAAATTAGTATTTTGAATCATTACTGTTTGAAAATTTGTTTGGCATTTATTTATCCCATTGTATATTTTATCGCCTATAATATTAGTTTGCAAATTTGAGGAAAAGCGTAAATTCAAAAAATGAGTTTACGTTAGTTTTTAAACAGAAATTTAAAAATTTGACTAACAAAATTTTTTTTTCAATTATTTTTTTTTCAAATAATATTTTTTTCAATAAATTTTTTTTCAACTAATACTAACCGAGGAGGTAATTGATAATGTTATTTTAAACCTTGGGGAGGAGATTATAATTTGTAAAATGTGGAAATTAACTTGAAATTCTTGATGCTTGCACTTCCAATAGTCTACATGGAAATTCAGTAGTATTATCCATGTATTGAGCATGAGCATATTGGCAGGTAGTTATTCACCAAAAAAAATCTTGGCAGGTAGTTTCTTTCTTACCTGGGAATGCATCATTCTGCCATAGCATTCTTTTCATTATTTCCATTGCATAATTTACTACAACATCACATTAAATAGTTGCCACAGCCAATGAAGGAAAGCTGTGGGTGCATAATATGATGAAAGAATCTGACACTGAAGCCCCTGAAAATTCCAGTGTCAAGTTCCAGCTTTCTCACTAAATTTTGATTTTATTAATTTTTTTTCCACTTCAGGTTCTTTTTTCTTTTTTGAATTTTGATATGATTGTATCTTGCAACGGGAACGGTGGCTGCATGACATTGTTCTGCATCATGAAATTGACGATCGATTGTAGGTCCGCCAATTTGTTTGTCAATTCCTTCATCTCATCGTCCCTCCGTAGGAATCTATCTTTCCATACCTGGAGGTCGTCCTCGTTGTAATACCCGCCTCGATCTGATTTCTTTGGTATGTCGCCCTCCTGGTTGACGTCCTTCTCTCCGTGAATCTTATCACGAGTCTCTTTGTTGCAGTTGTCTTCTTCGACGTCAAGGTCAATAGGTTTTCTATTTCCAGTAGGAGTGTCGTCTCCAATCTTCTCTTTCTGTCTGTTATTGGACATCTATTCTCATTTCTTTCCCACAGACGGCGCCAAATTGTGGGTGTTGATTTCCGACCACACAACTAAAAAGGAGAACTCAGCTGAAGAGCACCGGCAAAATAAGTTAAGCCCAAACAACCTATAACAGAAAGAAGAGATTCTGGCGGTGGTTCGTCTACCTGGGGGTACTCCGACGATCAAGTCAATTATCTCTCTAAGATAGAAAAAGTGCTTAACTCACTATTCAGAATACAAAAAGCGTACCTCAGACCCATGGGGGTGCCTCTCTTTTATAATCATCACAAACTTAATCCTAATAGGAGTCTGGCTTCAATGGACTTTGGATTACTACTAATCTTGGACTCCTAGTAGGATTTGGATAAACTCTCTAAGAGTTTTATCTTTATCCAAACTGAAGCCTTCTCTCGTTTCTAGGACTCTTGTCCCTTATCCGCTTATCCCGGACTCCGGTATCTTCGAACATAACCTCGGCCTAACCGAGATCATCTCGGCGTCATGTCGGGACACGTGAAATCTCGGCTGACACTTCGGTGCCACCTCGGTCAGGTGTTGCCATTCAAAAATTATATCCCCACATTATGGTAGAAGTATATTGAACTGTTCCATCAATTCGACAAGTTTTGCAAACACTCTACAAGTAATTGACACGAAACTAATACTAAACCAAAATTTCCATCAACAATTTGGTATTTTACTCAAATGATTAGAGGCTAAAGAAACTGACCTTTAAAGTG